GTTCGGACATTGATATATTACCTTTAAGTCTGTTTAATAATATCAAAAGGAATGAAATCGTTGAAAAAATTAATTATAAGATTCAAGCATATGGGGGATATGTTATTAAATTTGTTGGGGCTGTAAAAATGAATTGTGTGATGTCCAATCAAAGTGTTAAACTCAGGTTCGTTATTGTTGATGACAAAATACAAAATAAATGTATACCTATTTTAGGACTAGACACATGTGTTAAGTTTGGTTTGGTTGGTAAAATAGAAGTTAATAGTATTAATAGTAATGATGTGGAGAAACAGTTGGTTAAAGAGTATAAAGATGTGTTTGAAGGTTTAGGAAATTTTCCAGAGGAGTATGATATTAAAATTAGAGAGAATAGTGAAGGTTGGATTAATCCACCAAGGAGGGTACCAGAATCAATAAAGGGTGAACTTAAAAAAACACTAGATATCATGACTAAAGATGGTGTAATAGTACCTGTAGATAGACCAGGTAAATGGTCTAGTAATATTGTTATTGTTGAAAAGCCCAATAAAAAATTGCGAATCTGTTTAGATCCGTCAGAATTAAATAAAGTCATAATTCGAGAACATCATTTAATACCAACAATGGATGAGATTAGAATGAGCTTAAGTAATAAAAAGTGGTACTCATTGTTAGACCTTAAAAATGGGTTTTGGCAAATTAAGCTGTCTAAAGAGTCCAGCAATATATGTTGCTTTAGTACGCCTTTTGGATATTATAAATTTACTAGGCTTCCATTTGGGCTGTCATGTGCACCTGAAGAGTTCCAAAAACAGAATCAGAAGTGTTTTGGGGATATTGAAAATATAAAAATTTATTTTGATGACATATTAATTGCTGCTGAAGATGAAAGAACACATGATATGGCGGTAAAGTCTGTATTGAAAAGGGCAAAGTCTGTTGGAATAAAATTTAATGCAGACAAGTTTATTTATAAAAAGAAAGAAATCAATTATTTAGGTATGATTTTTAGTATGGAGGGAATGAAAGTTGATCCGGACCGAGTTGAGGCGATTAACAGTTTAAAAGAGCCTAAAAATAAAGTAGAACTACAACGAATCATAGGGATGTTCAATTTCCTTAGGCAATTTATACCAAACATGTCACAATTGATTGCTCCCATAAGAGAGTTGTTAAAGAAAAATGTGTACTGGACATGGACTAACATTCATAGTGAAGTTATAAGACAATTGAAACATATAATTACTAACTCACCTGTCCTTGTTAATTTTGATCCAAAAAAGGAAATAAGTATTCAATGTGATAGCTCTAGTAGTGGACTAGGTTGCTGCTTAATGCAAGAAGGAAAGCCAGTAGCATTTTCCTCTAGGAGTTTAACAGATTCAGAGAAACAGTACCCACAAATTGACAAAGAAATGTTAAGTATTTTGTTTTCGTGTCGCAAGTTTCATAATTATATTTATGGATATCATACAAAAATTTGGACGGATCATTCACCATTAACATCAATTTATAAAAAAAATTTTCATAAAGTTATATCAAATAGATTACAAAAAATGAAACTCAAGCTATTGATCTATGATTTAGAAATTAATTATTTACCAGGCAAAGATATGCATATTGCAGATCTGTTGTCGAGAAATTATATTAATAATGAATTTGACAAGGAAATTAATATTGAAGGGGTAGTACATTCAATTAATAGTACTATAAATGTTTCGAAAATAGCTGAGGCTACAAAGCATGACCTAGTTCTAGTGAAAATTTTAGAATACTATAATGAAGGTTGGCCAAAGGATAAAAATAAGATTAGTGGCGATATTCAACATTATTGGAGTCTTCGTAATGATATTGTTGTTGAAAAAGGAGTTCTTTATGTTAAAAATAAAATTATTATGCCTTACAGCCTGAGACGGTTGGCATTACAGCAGTTACATGAAGGACATAACGGTGTGAATAAAACTGTACTTAGAGCTAAGCAGTTAGTATACTGGCCTGGGTTGGATAATGAAATAAAACAGTATGTGTTGAGTTGCAAAGTTTGTGATAGGTTTAAAAATTCTAATACAAAAGAGCCATTACAGCATCACCAAGTGGCTAAACTACCTTTTGAAATTATAAGTTCTGACATATTGACTTATGGTGGTAAGGACTATGTTGTTGTCTTTGATCATTATTCAAAATGGCTAGAAATAATCAAAATAAATTTTAAAACAGCTCAAGAAGTTATACAACAGTTTAAAAAGATCTTCAGTACACATGGGTATCCACAAATAATACATTCTGATAATCAACCTTATAGCTCTGATGTATTTAAGCAATTTTGTGTAATGTATAATATAAATTTACTAACGTCTAGTCCTAGATACCCTCAATCTAATGGGACTGCAGAAAGAGCAGTACAAACTGCCAAACAAATGCTTAGGAAAGCTGATTTTGAAAAAAAAGAAATACTAGACATTTTGCTTGAGTATAGGTGTACAACCTTACCACAGATCGGAGCTTCACCTTGTGAGTTAGTCATGAGTAGACTATTAAGAACTAAGTTTCCAGTAAATGAGAATATTTTAAAACCTAAAATTCAAGTTAATGATGAAAACAGAATGTTAAACTATCAAGCCAACTATAAAGAATATTATGATAAAAGAACTAAATCCAAAGATGAGTTTAATGCAAATGATGATGTGGTTGTAAATGAAGGAAGAGTATGGTTACCTTGTAAAGTTTTAAATAAATTAGATAATTATCCAAGGTCATATGTAGTCAAGCTACAAAATGGGCAAATAGTCAGGCGTACATCATATCATTTGCGTTACTCAAAGGGACAACACTATATTGAAAATTATGAAGACAATGATGATATAATATTAGGAGTAAGTAGTAATGAAGAAGTGGTGAATTAGAAAAAAATTAAAGATAGTCAAAGTAATGAAGAAGTGGTGAGTAAGGGATCGAATGGTGAAATAACAAAAACAAAAGTTGGAAGAGTAGTTAAAATACCAACCAAGCTAGCTGATTATGATCTCAGTAATTAACTAAGTTTTGTTTTTATATAGTTTATCTAATCTTTAATGTTGTATTATTAATTGTTGTTTATTAATGTAATTATTATTATTTGAAATATTGTTAATATGTAAATCATCATTTATTAGTGTAATTATTGTACAAAACAACTGCTAATGTATCTATTGATTCTGTTGTATCCTAAAGGGAAGGATGTTGTATGATAACTGTGTTATCAATAGTTATTTTGTATTATATAATCATATCAATTGTTCACACATATAGTCAGTGTTATGTCACTAAGTTAATGTAAGACTGAAGCACATGTTAAGTTAAAATAATAAAAAGAATTTATAATATGTAACAAGTTGAGTAATTAAATAATAAGTGAACCTATAATAAATAGTACATTAGTGCAGAACATAAAACAATAATAACATAGGTAGCCGATACTCAACTAAAAAATAAATGTATGTCTTTCCATTTACTTATATGAAACCGGCCCACTTGAATTCCCTTATTTAAGCCCTATAATGCAGAGCATGACGACACACCAATATAATATTATGTGTAATAAGTAATTATTTTACACATACTATTTGTAAAATAAATACCTGTTAAAAAGTGTTACTAAATGACCAAACAAAAAAAAAGGTAGAAAAAAATAGTTATCACCAAAATGTCAAACATCGTAACACTATACACGTGATGCGGGCATTCTGGCGATATCATATTATGCATAACGCACACGTATTAGATCGGCACTCAGTATTCAGTAGTGTCCTGAGTAAATAAATTAAGATTAATTAATAGAGAGAATATAATACAAAGGACGAAGGATTAAAGTGGTAAAATGAGTTACTGCTATCCAGTTGTGGAAAACTCCTAACTGTAATCCAACATGGATACGTTTCTATAAAATTTTAATAGTATTCAGTTCAATATTATTCTTAGATAATTATTTTTTTAAATTTGAATTAGATTTGTCATCAAACAGACATTGTGTGCAGCTGCACTGTCTTTGAGCGCAGTAAAAACAAACGACAAATCGTTCGATCACGATTAATATAAAAAAAACACGCTTATACTGTTTTGATCGTTGATGCTTTATTAAAGTTTAATATTTTAGACTATGCTCGAATTAAAACGATGAGTGTGATACGTCGATGTCACATCAAGCAAACGCTTAAGTGGTCCGGATGAGTCGCACAGATCGGTGAAGATCCGGAAAACAGCAATGATGTGGAGGCCGCGAACAACAACGCTTGTTCTATCGGAAGCACGTACGGGTTACCGATTCTCACACGTTTATTTCAATGATTTCGTACCACCCATTAACACCATGAGCAACGGCACCTCATCGTTTGAAATCATTTTTATGTTTGCTACACGCCACCGCGGCCACGTATTGCGGCCAATAGTTATGGTACGGCGAGATGTAATTTCAGACAAATCACAGTCACCCAAATATTTCAAATCTGAAAATAAAATATGAACAGATAACAGTATGTTGGGATAAAATTCTATCACTCCACAATATGGAAAGGTATTCTTGTTTTGCTTCATTAAAGTAGGCATACTCGTACACACAGATCCACCACAAACCTTCAACCGTGAAAAACTGAAAACCGAATCAAGGTAGTGCCGTTGTCGTATGTAAAGTGATAGTCACCCGAACGATGACGTCAGCTCTATACCGGAAGAGTAATAGTCACCCGAACGATGACGTCAGCTCTATCGGAAGACCGTACAGTTGAATATATAAATCCTCATAAGTTCATTTCCATGGGGAACAGAAAAAAAGTCTCGGGGAAAAAAGTCCCGGTGGAAAAAAAGTCTCAGGGAAAAAAAGTTATATTTTTATAAAAAAAAATATGTCATTGAATCATATAGTCGTATTTAAAAAATAACACATAATATCAATACATTTGTACCAACATTCATCCAAAAGAAACGGCACACAGCTAGATCACCAACTGCATGAGAAGATAAACCAAGTATAGAAGGTTAAAAATTTAAAATACAATGATTCGAATTTAATTCAAAACAATGAAATGAAAAATTTCACGAATTTTTTTTTATCACACAACAGTTCGCGTCGTTCGCATGAAAATGTAAACGCAGTTTGGCTGGTCCCAATACAATCTTTTTGAATTAAAATCGACGACGAAAGAGAAACATCACATTTATGTTCAAATAGAACTCTACAAGTGTCAATATAAGACCTATATGAAAAAAAAGTGAACAAATTCGGGTTTTTTTTTTATTAACGAATAGTTCGTCAAAACCCTTTTCTATCGTTATACTGGTTAAAATTTATTTAATTGTGATTTTTTTCTGGAAAACAATAGCTTAACGATGCCATAAACTATCTAGACTATATTCGAAGTAGACACTGAAATACCTAAACCGCAAAATTCAATAGAAACTAAAATTTATGTTCAAATAGTACTGTACAAGTGTCAATATAGGACCTATATGAAAAAAAAGTGAACAAATTCGAGTTTTTTTGTATTAACGAATAGTTCGTCGTTCACATGAAAATATAAACATCGTGTTTGTGTTCAAAATTCAATCTTTCTACTTTAATCTCATTGAAACAGAAACGACACTTTCAAAACCCTTCCTATCGGTATAAAAGTTAAAATTTATTTATTATTGAATTTTTTTCTGCCAACATATAGTTTAACGATGCTACAAACTAAATGTATAAGATTTGAAGTTGTCTTGGAAATACTTAAACCGCAAAATTCAATATAAATTAAAATTTATGTCAAATGGCGATCTACAAGTGCCAATATACGACCGATATGAAAATAAATTCAACAAAGTCAGTTTTTTTTTTTGTGTCAACACACAGTTCATCGTTCACATGAAAATAATATGTACACGGTTTGGACGGTCAAAATTCAATCTCTCTGCTTTAAAATCTATGAAATAGATACGTCACTTTCAAAACCCTTCTCTATTGTTATAATAATTGAAATTTATTTATTCTTGAATTTTTTTCCGCCAACATACCTATTGTTGTTACTTGTTTTACCTTAACGATGCTACAAACTAAATGTAACTGATTTGATGTTGTAGAATATATAAATTGTAAGGATATAATTATTGGGTAGTATTAAAATAACACAATCAATTCTACATAGTTATTAAGAGTACCAAATCTGTGAGCACTATGTGGTGTTTTGCTATTAAAAAACATTAATAAATCAAAATGTTCTCAAAAATGTATAGATGTATGTTGTTTGTTGCGAAATCCGGTTTAATGTAATACGGTTATAACTCATCTGAATATGCTGGATTGCATGTATTAATATTATAAATTATGAATAAAAAAATAATAATATAAACAATATTATAGTATACCTAGTTTTTTTTATTAACATTGTAATCGTATATTATTATTTATTACACTTTAGAACAGAATAAAAAATAATATTATAAATATCATACAATTTTCTTTATTTTCATTCTAATTTTGTAGCTTCTATAGCAATTGACTTTCTTCCACAATCGTCTAGAAGAAACCGGACAAATATTTGAGGGGAGTCACGCTGGTGCGCTCAAATCAGTGAATTTCCATGGTCTCAGACACTCATTGTACCAAGGACAAAAATAGAGGATTTGCGGAGACTGTCAGACCAGGAAGTCTGCGGTGACCGAGCGTGCAGGGTGGTTCTCGACGATACGACACAGTGCACTACAGCTCACGACCGACTGAGATTCAGCCGGCAGCACTCTCGTAGGAGCAAGAGGATGTTGGTGCTCGACTTCGATTATGGCACGCAGCGGCAGCAGCCACAGGACCAGGATCAGGATCAGCTATACAAACGTGTCTAAAGATCGGGTTTTGCCGAAGGACCACCGAAAACGGTGGCCGCGTCCTGGAAACTGGCCCGTGTTCGTTCTGTGGGTGGTCAGTTGGGCGGTTCGGACTAAAAAGCTTTTGGCTGCAGATCGGAGAGGCGTGTCGAGTGCATCGGACCGGGAAATGGTGACTGGAGGAACTTGGTGACTGTGGAACTGATTAAAGAATTGGAAGTGTGAAGGTGGCAGCTTCAATAGAAACGTGACAAGGCTTCGAGAACGCCAGCTTTCGCATATTACAGGAAACTTGCAGGTTAGATTTGTATGCTGAAAATAATGAAACGAAATTAAAAATTTTGATTTTTCCACGATTCTTCGACATTTTATTATATTATATTCTATAATATAGTAGTAACACTCATTAAAAATTCAATTCATACTACTGTATAGGACTTACTTATGATATAGATATTCTATTAGGTACCATGTATTGTGGTAAAACCGTTACATTTGTTGTAACGCTTCAATAAGTTTACTGCCTTGGATTTACCAAGTCAATTCTTATTCCCTTCAGTTTCACTGTCTTTTTGTTCCTCCTCAATCATGTCACCATTTCTGCGGTTCCGAAACTCACTCGGCACACGCACTTCGATCTGTAACCTGGCTTTTTCGTCCGATTCGCCCAGCCGCTTTCGCAAGCACAGAACAAACACGGGTGGGCCGATTTCCAGTGGACGCGGCAGCATTTCCAGTGCACGGTCCTTCGGCGTAGACTCATCTATAAACTCGCCCCACTGATCCTGATCCTCTGTCGGTCGCTGCTGCTGCAAGTGCCGCTGCATGCCATGTTCTATGTTTATCTCCGTTGAGCTCGCATCCTCCTACTCCGCCGGCTGA